AAAAAAACAAAAAAGCCAGTGTGACCACAATGTAGTGAATACAAATGATTAGGTCATAGAGATAATCAAGAATCATTTCATGAAGGGTCTTAGGCAATGGTTAGGATATTTTCAATTATTCCTAGCACAATGAAAAATTCATCAGAAGGGACGCCTGGGTGGCTCAGTGGTTGAGCATCTGCCTTCGGCTCAGAGCATGATCCTGGAGTCCCGGGATCGAGTCCCACATCAGGATCCCTGAAGGGAAACTGCTTCTCCCTCTGCCTATGTCTCTCATGAATAAATGAATAAAATCTTTAAAAAAAACTCATCAGAAGCTTTGGAGCAGGGTAGTGACATGACTTCATTTGTATTTCAGATATATTGTCCAGGGAGCAGGCAAGAGTCAATAAAGGATAGATAAAGAATTGTAAGATGTCAGGGGGACTCTTTAGAAGCCTATTACAATGCTGTTTTAGGCAAGAGATGAAAGATTATGCAACTAGGATGGCAAAGGGATGTTTGAGGAACTGAGGATATCTTGTGAATGTAGAACAAATGGGAATTGTTAATGAGCTGAATATGTGAGTGTGAGTTAAAGATAATTACTCTTATGTTGTTGCCCTGAGTAAAGAAAATTACTCTTATGTTGTTGCCTTGTGGTAGTTGCTGAAATGAAGCACCTTGGAGATGAATGAAGTTGGAAAATCAAGAAGACTATTTTAGACATGTCAAATTTGAGATGCCTATTTAAGATCCCAGTTAAATTGTTGGGTAAACAATTGGATGAGCTACTTCCAGAGGTTTGAGTTGCAGATAAGAGTTTGGGAAACAAGTGAGATTGTACTTCAAGCCACAGAACTGAATACTTCAGACTCTATTTCATGATCTCTCAATGATACAGGCTAACAAAGGCCTCACCACCTTGAAGCCATACCTGCTGGGGCACAAGGCTTCCACAGTCCCTGTAATAAAAGAAAAAAGAGCCAGAAGGTGTCATACCTCGTTATTTACCCAAAAGATACAAAGATACTGTTTCAAAGGGACACATGCACTCTGATGTTTATAGCAGCATTATCAACAATAGCCAAATTATGGAAAGAGGCCACATGTCCATCAACCAATGAATAGATAAAGAAGAAGAGGTATGCATACACAATGGAATATTACTTAGCCATAAAAAAGAATGAAATCTTGCCATTTGCAATGACATGGATAGAGCTAGAGGGTATTTATGCTAAGTGAAATAAATCAGTCAGAGAAAGACAAATACCATATGATTTTACTTGTATGTAAAATATAAGAAACAAAGTAGATGAACACAGGGGAAGGAGGGAAGAAAATGAGAGGAAGGCAAACTGTAAGAAAGTTAACTATAGAGAACAAACTGAAGGTCGAAGGAGGGAAAGTGGGTAGGGGATGGGCTACCTGGATGATAGGTAGTAAAGAGGGCACTTGCTGTGATGAGCACTGGGTGTTCTATGTAAGTAATGAATCACTAAATTCTACCTCTGAAATAAATAGTACACTATATGTTAACTAACTAGAATTTAAATAAAAACTTGGGAAAAAATATATAAAGGGATATAAAGAACTTTGGGTGCACCTGGCTGGTTCAGTCAGTAGAGCATGCAACTTTGATCTCAGGATTGTAGGTTCAAGTCCCACATTAGATGTAGAGATAACTTGAAAATCTTAAAAAAAAAGACAAGTCACATTTGTGCCTTTCTCCTATTGGTTAGGAGCAGTCAATGCCCTTGCCTAACTGCAGGGGCTGAAAAATGTGGAGAAACACATGAATGCTGGATGATTACTGCTGTCTCTCACATTATATCTCACTTGGTTTTGAGGGCTCAACTAATAGTCGTTTTTATTTATTTTTTTGTTTTATTTTAATTCCAATATAGTTAACATACAGTATTATATTAGTTTCAGGTGTACAATACAGTGATTCAGCACTTCCATACACCACTCACTGCTCATCCCAACAGGTGCACTCCTTAACTGCCATCACTCGCTCCACCCATCCCCCATTAACCTCCCCTCTGGTAACATCATTGTATCCTCTGTCATTAAGAGTCTATTTCTTGTTTTGTCTCTTTTTGCTGTGCTCATTTGTTTCTTAAGTTCCACAGATGAGTGAAATCATATGGTATTTGTCTTTCCCTCAATTATTTCACATGGCATTATACTCTTTAGCTCCATCCAAGTCATTACAAATGTCAAGATTATACTCTTTTTTTTGTGTGTGGTTGACTAATATTTCTATATATCAGTAAATATATATTGATATATATCTATATATAGAGATAGATCTCTATTTTTCTATTTATCATCTATCTATCTATCAACACATACACACATACAGCGCATCTTCTTTATCTGTTCATCTATTGATGGACAATTGGGCCACTTCGATGATTGGGCTATTGTAATTAATGCTGCCATAAACATAGGGGTGCTTGTACCCTGTGAATTAGGTTTGTTTGTTTGTTTTAGATTTTATTTATTTATTCATGAGAGACATACAGAGAGAGGCAGAGACACAGGCAGAGGGAGAAGCCGGGTCCAGGCAGGGAGCCCGACATGGGACTCGATCCTGAGACCGCCGATCACACCTGAGCCAGGGGCAGGTGCTCAACCGCTGAGCCACCCGGGCATCCCAGTATTTTTATACTCTTTGGGTGAATACACAGTAGTATGATTACTGAATCATACGGTAGCTCTATTTTTAACTTTTTAAGGAAACTTTATACTGTTTTCCACAGTGGCTGTGCCAGTTTGCATTCCCATCAACCACCCAAGAGGGTTCCTTTTTCTCCAATCCTCACCAACACTTGTTTCTTGTGTTTTGATTTTCATTCTGACAGCTGTGACTTCATACATCATTGTAGTTTTGATTTGCATTTCCCTGATGATAAGTGACGATGAGCACCTTTTCTTGAGTCTGTTGGCCATCTATATACGTCTTCTTTGGAGAAATGTCTGTGTCTTCTGCCTTAATTTTTGGATGTTGAGTTTTATAAGTTCTTTATAAATTTTGGATATTAACTGTCATAGTATATCACTTAAAGTATGAAAATATAGCTACAGAGGGAAAAAAAAACATCCTCACCAACATATTATGATAAGCCCACAGTATTTTTGTGTTTTTATAACAGTAATTAAAGTAATTATCTAAAACCAAGACAAAACCCATGTTGCAGTGGCAATACCAAGGGGTGGCTTAGCGATGGTAGGGTAAGAAGATTTTAGCTTCTCTCAATAGTATGTCGTTTTCCACCAACCAAATCTATGCCAAATCTAATGTGGGCAATTAATATTTTTTCTTATCTAATGTAAAATACATGCAAATGAATCTTCAAACTCCTGTCCAATCAGAAACTGACTATAAAAGCTTCCTAGGGATAAATTCTGGAGCCAGGACTATTACATTTTATTATGATGAAAAAGGAAGAATACTGATACATAAATAAGCCATTTCAATTAAATTTGCCCACTCAAAAATGAAACAGAACAGCAAAACTAGTGAATTAAATCCTCTGAAGCTACAGTGCCCCTTTCCCCTCCCCGGGTCCAATGGAATTTCTTTATATGAATTTCAAGACTATTTATTAGATCATTGCAATTGATACAGCCCGTAACACAAAGAGAAATTCTTGTAATGATCTATCTTGTAAATGTTTTCCAGCCTCTTTTTTGCAAGCTCTGAATAGGATTCTTTTGAAAGCAAATATTTATGTGTTTAAAAACCCCCAAAGACCTTGTTTTTTGTCCAAACACCAGCTAGAAAGATCAATACTGCCTTTTAGAAGGAAATGGTTTGGCTGCTTATGTATCATCGGAATGCTTTCTAACAACACTAAGGCATTTAATTTTGGAAAAACAAAAATTAAGAATTTTTGAGGAATAGTAGGGAAAGGTGGAAACTAACAGATGATAAGCTTCAAGAGTGTTGCCACTTTTGAATATGGCAACTCAAATAATGTCATTATTTATAGACATTTGAATTGTCTAAAATATTATTCATTTTTTATGAAACAAATGTTAGGTTTTGTTGCTTAGCTGGCATAAAATATACTGAACTGGGCCATTTTTCTTTTTCTGTGCTAAGTCTGGTTGCTTGTTCATCTTAAAGAAACATGTTAAACACAGATCTTGTCAACATAATCTAGGAAACGCAATCTTCTCTCAGTTATTTAGTCATTTCGGCCAAATAATTTTTAATATTGATAGTAACGAGCAAATCATGTCACCATAGTATTTTTTTATAAAAAAATTGTTATTTTTAATTCTCAACTAGAAAGCACCATTTTATGATCATCAAAGGAAATATACTTTTAATTTCATATATTCTGCTATTATATGAACTGAAATTCTAATGCTCACATGTGAGTATAAGCCATTTCTTTATATTAGTTTATTTATTTAATGACTTACTTATCCAAGTATTTGAGGTGGCTCACATAAACTCATAAAAGAATACAGGGAAAAAATAAAGAAAAATCAGGTCTATGGTAAATCTAGATAGTATAAAAGTTCAAGAAGAAAAAAGTTAGAACACATAAGTATTCATTGTGGGGATCATACTTAAATAAATTTATCATGAAATTTATGGCAGTGAATAAAAGACACTTCGAAAATATGAGGATTAGAATTTTTGTTAAAGAGGAACAACCACATTATCACACAGTTCAGTTAAGCTTTGATTATGAGATGCTAAATTAATACCAATTTACACTTATTTGATTAATTATTCAATCTAAGAAGTATAAGTACTTGGTGATAAATATTTGCATTTGAAAAGTCATAACCAAAGGAAAAGCTGTTTTTTATATCTATTTCATGTACTAATTGGTTCCTAGTAAGAAAATCAGTGTAGTAGCAGCTGCATATGCAATTGAATTTGATGGAATTATAATTATGGAGGGAAAAAAACTGATAGCAAAGTAAACAGAGTGAAACCGTACTAAGTCGAAAATAGCACAAACTGATTTGCGTGTTTCTCTGAAAATTTCCAGGTGTTGTCAAAGTGGATTATGGAGATGTGTCAGTCAGAAAAACACTAAGAGAAAATCTGAAGTGTAAGCCCTTTTCTTGGTACCTTGAAAACATCTATCCGGACTCCCAGATCCCAAGACGTTATTACTCACTTGGTGAGGTATGAATTATTTATTTTGGTTAAGTTATAAATATATTTTGCAAATGGAGCAATTTCGAAGGAGCTCAATATTTTTTATGTTATGAATAAAATGCTTTGAGGGCTTTTAAATAGATCTATTTTAAATAACTTTTCAAGCCACTAATGGTCTCAAGGACCATAAAGGTCTTTATCATTGGAATTGGTGAAAGTAAGAGGATAGTTTAACTAAATAGTATCTTCTTGTTTCTTTATCAACAGTTCAGAAACTTTTTGGTCATTACGCTCTTTAAAATTTATTGTGAACCCCAAGAGCTTTGGTTTAGATGGGTTAAAATTATTAATATTCACTGTATTGAAACTCAGCCTGAGAACTGTAAAACCCATTTATTAATTCATTAAAAACAATGTTATACATTACATATTAATATAAGTAATGCATTTTTATTTTTATTTTTTTAAGATTTTATTTATTTATTCATGAGAGACACACACACACACAGAGAGAGAGAGAGAGAGAGAGAGGCAGAGACACAGGCAGAGGGAGAAGCAGGCTCCATGCACCGGGAGCCGGACGCCGGACTCGATCCCGGGCCTCCAGGGTTGCGCCCTGGGCTGAAGCCCGCGCTAACCACTGAGGTACCCGGGCTGCCCAATAATGCATTTTTAAAAACATATTTTCCAAAGTAAAGTCAGATAGTAAGATCAGCATCAATTATAGTTTTGTAACTTGCATTACTGCTTGGCCTAATAGAAGTTACCTGGAGTCCTGTGTCTGTTTTGGTATTCGGCCTACTGTGCAGCACATACCACGTAGCCTCTGCGGGACTCCTTGTACTTCACGAGGAGTGAGAGTAAAAACGGCAAGTAAGGGCAACCGGGTGGCCCAGCGGTTTAGCGCTGCCTTCGGCCCAGGGCATGACCCCGGGGTCCTGGGATCGAGTCCCTCCTCGGGCTCCCTGCGTGGGGCCTGCTTCTCCCTCTGCCTGGGTCTCTGCCCCCTCGTGTGTGTGTGTGTGTGTGTGTGTGTGTGTGTGTGTGTGTGTGATGAATTAATAAAACTTAAAAAAAAAAAACCGACAAGTAATACCTTAGTGTTTTTGGTAAAGATGTTATTTATTTGAGAGAGACAGAGAGCATGAGAGAGAGCATGAGCTGGCGAGGGGTAGAGGAAGAGGGAGAAGCAGACTCCCTGCTCGGTGGGGAGCCTGATTCGGGGCTCAGTACTGGGCTTGAAATGGGGCTTGATTTGAGGCTCCGAATGGGGGTCCATGTGGGGCTCCACAGGGGCTGCCTCCCAGGATCCTGGGATCATGACGTGAGCTGAAGGCAGATGCTGAACTGACTGAGCCTATCTTAGTGCTATTACTGAAATCGTGGTGACTTTGTAGGCCCACTGAAAACCATAGATCCTCTACCATTGTTTTCCAAAATATCCATTATCTATAGAAATATGTAGTTGGCTTCATAATGATCATATAAACATATTCATAATATGTATTCAGTTGCCTGAAATAAGAACCATTTCTTAATTATATGTCCCAAATTGGTAACTTCCCACTTAGTAGGGATTAGTTTTGGGAATCAAAACTAATTTAATATTGGGTTTAATTAAAGCATTTTGACAGAAATTATACAATGCACTTGGAAAATAATTAAGTTTGTCCTTAGGTTGGAACTACCATTTTTTTAGGTCATAATAGTAGAATATCTGAAAATGTGTAGAGTACAATCTAACACTTTTTTGGTTCATTTGCCAAAAGTAATAATCTGTAACTTTATCCACTCTCTCACTTTAATCCATACACATAATTTGATTGATTAGAAAATAATTAAAGCAAAAAATACTGAAACCTAATGGAACCGTAGCTGGATTGTCTTTTAAAGGCTGTGTTTCTGTGTCCACATCCCTGCTCTAGTCGTCAGATCTCCTCTTCATTATTAGCCGTGTAAATATCTCTTTATAGAATCCTTCCATTTACATCTCTTTAACCTTAATCTGAATAATGTAGTGCAAAGTTTCACATGGCATAACAGTGAATGTATGGCTTTCGCTTTAGTTGTTGTTAAGATTTATTTATTTAATTTGGAGAGAGAGTGTGAGCTGGGGGGAGGGGCAGAAGGAAAGGGGGAGAGACAGAGATACAGAGAGAGAGAGAGAGAGAAGCCGACTTCCCTGAGCACAAGCCCATCATGGCTTGATCTCAGGACCATGAGATCATCACCTGAGTTGAAATCGAGTTGGCTGCTCAACTGACTGAGCCACCCAGCCACCCCTGTATGACTTTCTAAGTGTGACTCCAGTTACTTAATATTCCTGTGCCTCAGGGTTCTATTTTTAAAATTTTTGTTTGCTTTTATTAAGGGGGAGGGTTGTTGCCATTGTTTTCAAATATGAAACAGTTTTATTTATGCGCTGATGTTACAGGGGTTTATATTCAATACATCAATTATGCAAGTGCTTTTTAAACTAGAACACTGGAACATCTGGGTGGCTCAGTGGTTAAGCATCTGCCTCCGGCCCAGGGTGTGATCCCCAGGGGTCCCAGGATCGAGTCCCACATCAGGCTCCCCACAGGGAGCCTGCTTCTCCCTCTGCCTGTGTCTCTGCCTCTCTCTGTGTCTCTCATGAATAAATAAAGTCTTAAAAAAATAAATAAAATAAAATAAAACAAAATAAAACAGTTTGCATGCCAGTTGTTATGATCTAGTGCTTCTGAAGATCCCCCATATCTAATACTTACATTTCTTTGCTGAAAAGTTTGTTTGAACAATTGTGAACCTGACCATACCCTAAGATGAAGGGGATGTTTCTATTCTTGTTTAGTGTTTCTCCCACTGCAGTCAGTAGCCCCCGCTGATGAGTGAACATTTATTACTTGTTCTAAAAGGGAGTATGAGCAGGGCCTTATAACAAAACAGATAGGAGTAAGGAGGACTTTCTGGAAATTTTCTGGGGCCACCAGAGTGATTCCTGAGAAAGGCCTGTAAAACAGAAACTGTATGTTTACTTCTGTGGTAAAAATCCAATTTTATGGTTTCTTGCACCAAATCAGGGAAACCTAATTAACTGACTTCCTGAAAAAGTAAAAATATACTGCAGGCAAATTCCTTGGTACAACCTACTGATTTTAAATTAGCTGTCGTCTGTGATAGGTCAGACGGCCATATTTTAATGTACAGAAATAGTTTGAAAGAGACTGTGCCTTCCTGGGTTTTTGAGACATATCCAAGAAGAGGCAGTTTGTTGTTTAAAAAAATTCCAGGCCTTGGAGGCAAGCAGGGGAAGGTTGAAATCCTGACCTCATTGCTTACAACTTGAGTGGCACTAGGTGTTCTCTCTGTAGCTTTTGGCAGTGTGTAGCTAATCATAAAGGGATGTGGTGATGACTGAAGATCTAGAGCATTTAGCACAAGAAGTAGTAGAGCGCCAGTAGTAACAGTTATCGTAATTATTATAGCTACCATTTGTTGATTTCTTATTAAGTCAAATATTATGCTAGATGCTTTATAACAATTACGTTATTCAAAAATCTCAACTCTATGACTTGGGTTTTGTTACGATCCCAATTTAAAATAGAAATTGAGGGATCCCTGGGTGGCGCAGCAGTTTGGCGCCTGCCTTTGGCCCAGGGCGCGATCCTGGAGACCTGGGATCGAGTCCCACGTCGGGCTCCCAGTGCATGGGGCCTGCTTCTCCCTCTGCCTGTGTCTCTGCCTCTCTCTCTCTCTCTCTCTGTGACTATCATAAATAAATAAAAATTTAAAAAAATAAATAAAATTAAAAAGAAATTGATATGTAGAAACTTTATGTGATTCACCCGTGGGTCACTGAGCTAGCTAGTAAAGTCAGGATTCAAAGACATGTTAGTCTGATACTAATGCTCACTTTTTCTTATCGCTAGAAAGACAAAATAGTTTCTTTTATTTATTTATTCATGAGAGACACACAGAGAGAGGCAGAGACACAGGCAGAGGGAGAAGCAGGCTCCATGTGGGGAGCCCGATGTGGGACTCGATCCCAGGGCCCCGGGATCACGCCCTGAGCCAAAGGCAGATGCTCCTGCTGAGCCACCCAAGTGCCCCAAATAGCTTGTATTATTACAGTTTATTTATTCAAGAATGCTTTCATTAAATAAGAAGTGGATTTGGAACCTATGTATTACATGCTAAGGATGCAAAGTCAAATAAGGGAAGCCCTTTGCTCTTAAGCCATTCTGCTGAAATGGGAACAGGAGAGGTAGCAAAAAAGAAACAAATAGTGAAGAAGTTCAGAGAAATAGGGGCATCTGAGTGGCTCAGTTGGTTAAGTGTCTGACTCTTGATTTTGGCTCAGGTCTTGATCTCAGAGCCATGAGATCAAGTCCCGGATTGGGCTCTGCACTCAGTGGGAAGTCTGCTAGAGATTCTCTCTCTCTCTCTTTCTACCCCTCCCGATGTTCTCTCTCCCAAATAAATAATTAAAAAAAAAAGAAATTTAGAGAAATAAAAGATGTCCTACATGAAGTATATAGTCATGCTATATAAACTGCTGCTTCAAAACCCCCAATAATTTTTTTTTTAAATCTGTGAGAATGTGTTGTTTTAAACTTTGTGGGGTATTAATGTGCTGTAGTTTTCCACTTTAAAACCAGCCTTAAAATAAATAAATAAATAAATAAAAATAAAATAAAACCAGCCTTAAAGAGAGATACAATCCAGCATCTGTTTCCATGGAAACAGAAGGACAATTTTACCAAGCACTACTTCCCAATTTGATTTTGCATAGTCATGTATACATAATTTAAGACAGACATTTTGATAATGAGTTTGGAATGAACTGTTAATGGATAACAGACATTTATTTAAACATTTTTCTTTCTCATTGCTTACCATTAACCATTTTTAGAAGAAAATAAAAAGCTATCTTTCCTTATAAATGAAGGTATTTTTTCTTTGCAAATAGAGCCTCAAGGAGGTATCAAGTGTCCAACCTACTTAACAAGACAATAGATTGTTTCTTTGTTGTGTGTATGTGTGTG